ATTGATACTTATGATATCGTGTGTGTGTATATATATATATATATATATATATATATATATATATATATATATATATATATATATATATATATATAGTTCACAAAAATAGTTGAGGTTGTTAGAGTTTAGAGAATAAGACAGAGAAAAAAACCACTTGAGTGAGATAGAGAAAAGGATGATATAAGAATACATCAAACTCTACTTTTTGGTGCATGCATTCATATTGAAAGATAAAGATGAAAGATGTTATTTTGGAATATACAAAACTATATAAGCAAACTCATTTGTAAGTAAATTTTAAAGTGATCTTCTTTATATTGTTAGAAGTTATATTAAGTTGTATAATAATTTGATATTATTATTATATATGTATATGTATGTATGATCTTTTGATATTATTAAAAATTAAACTTTGTTGTACAAATGAAACTTTTATATATCAAAATATTTTATTGTGTTTTACTTTAATTGATAATGGATTTTAATTTCCAATCAATTATATTGTAGATTTTATATATTAATATATACTTTTTCCGATAGTATTTTATGTTTCATATGAAAACTGAATTAAACATAATATAGAAAGTGTTTTGCGAATAAACATTTATGATGCAAATTCACTCAACAAAAATTATAAAAAGCAATGTATAACAAAAGTATTGTTAAGAAAAATTATATTTTTGGCATGTTTGACGTCACAAAAAAATGTGGTTATAGTTACTATTTGTTATTTGCATTTTTATATGATGATTTTTTTCCAAGAACCAAAATTGAAAAAAAAAACATATACCATATAAACTAAATTTAATAGTTATTTGTAATTTAAAAATAAAACGGATATAGTTGAATTGTAAAATTTTTATATATCTTAATCGAAATCTATATATATATATATATATATATAGATATATATATATATATATATATATAAAAGAAAAGTGAATATACATTACAGCCCCACCTAAGCTTTTATATATATATATATTATATATATATATATATATATATTATATATATATATATATATATATCTATATGAAACAATTTTTTACTAATGATGATTAATTTATTCATTCAAATATGATAATTATAAGGATTACATTGGTTTATCTTTACCATATAAACTAGATCTGATATTTATTTGTAATTAAAAAAACGATATAGTCGAATTATAAAATTTCTATATATTTAATTATAGATAAAATATTTTTTTTACTAATTATAAAATTTCTATATACCTTAATCAAAATCTATATATCTAATTATCAACGAGATATTTTTTTACTAATGATGATTAATTTATTAATTGAAAATTGAAAATTATAAGGATTATATGTGTTTATCTTTAAATATATAACTTAAATTGAAAAACTAAATTAACAAAAAAAAAATAAAAAAACTATTTTATATACTAATGAAATTTTTCGAAAGAAGTGGCTAATTTTTTAAGTAATTAAAATAATAAAGTTTAATATAAAATCTAATTCCAAATTATATCTAATATATAAAGAGACATTTTTTCTTGAACCTTATATTTATTTGAAACTTCCATTACTGTTCACCTTACTAATACAATTCAAAAAACTTTTGATAATTAATTAATTCAATGAAATTTAATATTAATTATAATGATCGTGTTGGTTAATCTTTAACTATAAAATTTATTTAAATACCAAATTAACAAGAAAAAAGCTTATAAAAAATATAATAATATTTTTTCCAAAAGTATAGTTTCTTGAATATTTAAAAATAATAAATTGTTAAATATAAGGTTAAATATTAAAACTAAATCCAAATATAGAAATTTAAACACAACTTACAAATATATTACATTTATGTGGTGTTTATTTTTTGTCTGCAGATCTTCCTGGTCTCTTCTGTCTGCGCGGCGCAGACCACGCGCAGACATTAGCCTTCGCAGACTGTTTGTTTTTTTAAAGACTGCAGACCTAAAAATGTCTGCGCGCCCTCCTCTTGGCGCAGATGTGGACCAGAGTCTTCTAGCCTAAAAAAACACATATATTTTATTTTATTTTTAATTTTTTTGAATTTATATTTATTCCAACTTTATTAGTGATAGACAATTTGAAAAAAAAAAGTTACAATACTTAAAAAAAAAAGTTCGACGACACAAACATGATATTTTTTGACAAATTTATAAATAAAATATTATTACAATAATGGTTGTTGAAGTATAAATATGAAAAAAATAATATATTCTTATATTTATTGTGCCAAATTTTATAAAATATTATTTAATAAAGCATCATCAATTTCTTAGAAAAAATATTTATGACACGTTTTTAATTGATTTAATTGAAAAAATCGAAGTTTATTTTCATTTATTTATATATCAAATTCTTTGATTCATAATTACAATGTTTAGGCATAACTTTGCGACCAAAATGGTTGGTTTTTATCAAATACATACGTTTATTTATACCATTTTTATTTTCATTTTTTATACAATAATACATAAAAGTTTATTTATATTTGTTAATTATTTATAACAAAGTCATAAATATATTAAAAAATCACTTTATAGTTTTAAAAAATCAGTTTTTTAGATTTTAGTTTATTTTAGTAGTCTGCAGATGTTAAAAAAACAAAACAGTCTTCTTTTTTCAGACTGCAGACGTTTGGTCCACCTCTTCTACCGCAGAGGTCTACAGATGTGGTCCGCAGACTGCAGACATTTTGCCTCAGAAAAAACAAACAGCACCTTAATTGATCTGATAACAAAAAATAACAAAAAAAATACGTACCTAAATTAATTAACTATTGATATTTAAAAAATTATTATAAATCAAAAATATATTTATTTTTATTTGTAACTTCTTGATAGTAGCTTATTGAAATCATGGTTTTAATATGTATATATTTGTATCATATTATATAAAATAATTAAAATGTGTTATAACAAATTAGTGTAAACAATTATTAACTTATTTTTAATACCATACATATATTAACATTTAACTATATTATTGTATTTTACGTAATATATTTGCTATAATATAATCATGATTTTTTTTATTACTGTCAACACATGAGAATTCGCCTCGTTCAATATATGTTAAGTGATAACTAATGAAAAAAAAACTATATCTTTCAATGATATTAGATAGTAATAATTAATCAATTAATAACAAAAAAACAATAATAGTAATAAATAATCAATTAATAACAAAAAAACTATAAAAAAGAGTGCTTTTAATAAGACATTTTTTAGACATCTCATATATATTTTTATAAAAAGTCACACTATAAGTAAATATGTATTAATCAGTTTTTTCAAAAAACAATACAATTTCAACCAATAATAATATTTCAAAAATTAATTTGAATATCTAAATGGTAAAACGACATGAATTTTTAACCAAGCTTAAAAAAAACTACCATAAATAAAAAAAATTTCTTACGAAAGCCTATGACATCTATACCGGATAGTTAGTGAAACTGTCAAAGTGAGCAAGTCGGGTACATACCGAATAAAGTACAAGTCCTCAAAGTTATCATTACTCCACCTAATTATTCTAGCTTTGGGGAAAAATGATTCACCTCCTAATTGCTGTCATTTCATGGCCCACATTACCAAATTCAAGAACAATGTACAGATTTTGGTGCATATTATACAAGTCAATAAAGCATCTTTGAAAAAAAGGATTCACCTTAATTGCTGTCGTGTCATGGTAGAAAAAGAACAGTGGAATTGGAATCATAGGGTTGTCAATCTTGGATTCCAGAAAGGAGTTGATTATTCTAATGTCCCCACTAACAGCTGGTTTACAATCAAGAATATCAAAATCAACATCTAATCTTCTAATATAAAGGTACCACATTTTCTTATTGTGAAGTCTTTCTTGAAAATCAATTTGCTCCCCCTTGATTATGACACCTCTTAAAGAAAAATCACCATCAAAAATTCATAAAAAAATCATATTTTCTTGTGGGGTGGCCAAAACCTTGAGAAAATGTTCAAAATTTTAATGGGGTTTGGACAAAATATCTCAAGTTGTTAGAAATTATTCGCGTAATCTAGGGATCTTTTTCAGGCGTTTGTGTCGGAAATCGATAAAAGATTTGCACAAAATGAAAGACCGGTCAATTTCTCATTGATTTCGAATAATAATATTAATGTCTCACATCAGTGCGATACTGTTCAATATATATATATATATATATATATATATTATATATATATATATATATATATATATATATATATATATATTGGAGTCTATATTCTCTCCACATCTGCTATTTTATAGAGAAAACTAAAGACTATACATATATCTTGATAAAAGATTTGCACAAAATGAAAGACCGGTCAATTTCTCATTGATTTCGATTAATAATATTAATGTCTCACATCAGTGCGATACTGTTCAATATATATATATATATATATATATATATATATATATATATATATATATATATATATATATATATATATATATTGGAGTCTATATTCTCTCCACATCTGCTATTTTATAGAGAAAACTAAAGACTATACATATATCTTACATCGTATCACAGCCAACGTCTAGTTTCTAAGCGACTTTAACACATTTTAGTCTGTATGTCTCTATATATGTTGGAGTCTACCCTATCAATATAATTTTTTTTTCTTGCTAATAGATTTGTTTCCATTAGAACTCGAACCCACATAAAAGTTGATTACTTGGAAACAGATATCGAAAAAATATAAACAAAAATAATGATTAGATATATTAGAATGTTAAAGAAAATATATGAATGAAAACAAGGTTGCACCCTCTTCATGTCAACCCTTACACCATGTTACAACATCTTACATAGTTTAAACCCCAACCCTCCACCAAATTTATAGAAATTAGTTCTAGGATTATACAAATAAATTCTTGTAAAAATAAGATATCAATTGAAGATATATATATATATATTATATATATATATATATATATATATATATATATAATATATATATATATATATATATATATATATATATATATATCTCTTCTTCCTTTCTCTATACAAATGCTCTTCTTGCTTTAAGGGCCTAAATAGTTATATCAATGAATTCGGTATCATAGCTCAACTTTCATTTGACCTCCACCCATTGTTCCTACAATTCGGAAAATTAATACGTTAGATTAAATTTTAAAATTTAAATGTTAGTTGACTTTCTTGATTAAAAAGTCAACTCACCATGAAAGCTTTGTGCTTGATTTTGGCCAAACCCCATTTGTACAACACTCTGAAGATCATTTTCCCAGAACGCATTTGCCTGAAATTAATCGATTTTTTTAAAAAACAAAAACTTTGCAAAATAATTTATTTTGTTTAAATCAGAAATAGCAAATTACTTCGCCAAAACCATCTGACTTCATGTTTGAATTACGATGCATCATTGCCATCAAAGGGTGTTCTTGTCCATCGGGAATCATTCCATAAAATGGCTGGACTGATGCATCAATATGATTCATGACGTTTGACATGGATGCCCTTTGGAAAGTCTGAAAAATAGATAGAAAAGTATGGGAAATTACTAAAATGCCCCTTGATGAGATAGTTGGATATATTATGAAATTGAAAAGCGCTTACGTCTTTAGATAGAAGAGCTTCCATGTTCATATCTGTTCTTGGATTAACGGTTGCCAATTTCATTGACAAGAACTATTAAAAAGAAAATCGATATATTAATATTTACATAATTAAGAAAATTAATATATTTTTTATTTGAATTAGTCTGTATGTACCTCAACTTGTCTCTGCAATGATTGTACGTAATTTATAATCTCATCCAGCATAACAGCCTTTCCTGTCACCTTTAGATAAAAATCAAAAATAAAAATCTCAAATTACAAACAATTTGTAAAAAATTTCTAAGTATAATAAATAAATAAATGATTTTTTTTTTCTTTTTACCTTGTTGCAACCAGGAACAAGATCTTGAAGGAACTTCATCCTCTCGCTTATCTTCTCTCTTCTCACCTAAAATTTCCAAAATAGAATGTCAATTGGTTTCATTAAAGGAAAGAAAACAATGGAATGGAATTGAAACGAATGGAATGGAATGGAATTGACATACCCTTTCAGCAAGACTATGGCTATCGGTAGCTTGACCCCTTCTTGCTCGGACATGAATGTAGTCCTTCGGTGGCTCTGGTAGTTTTGCTGTTTCCTTCGTTTGCTTCTGATTCCCATTCCCATTCCCATTCCCTTCTACCTTTTCCTTTTCCTTTTCCTTTTCCTTTTCTGTAGCATTACCTTCTTCATCCGACCTGCTTCTTTTTGCATCTGATTCCTCTTTTTCTTGTTCTACCACAGTCTGAAACAGAACCAAAAAAAGGTCTTTAATTTACAGAATTTATTAAATATCAAAATTGGGTGTCGTGAAAGAGAAGAATTGAATGAATTTACCGTGGTGTCTTTTGTAGATTGAGCGCTGAATTGGGTTTCTTTTCCTTTCCCCTTCGGGATTGCCTTTCTCTTTCTGCCGTTGGAATTGGTATTTTGACCTTTAATTCCGGTTTCCCCACCAGGGATCTGTTCGGATAGAGATGATTCCTCCATGGAATTATCCAATTCCTTGTTTTCTGAAGTCAACGACATGGATAACCTGCTGAATTTCTTATCAGAAGCCGGAATTGGAGTTCCAGTTCCTTCTTCTTGAATTCCCACGAACTGAGATCCAGTAGTCTTGAACGACTGATTACTTGACACTCTTGACAACTTTCCTGATTCCACCATATGGGGGAATTCGGATTCTTTCACCCCAAAATTCTTCCCACCAAAGCAAGAGAATCTGGCTGCTCTCTCGACAAATCCAGGATCTGCAGGGAAAGGAGCCAATGGTAATTGATGATTCCTGGGAATTGGCAAATTCCCTTGAATCTGATGATGATCCATTATTGACAAATTGAGCTTCGGTGGCGAATTCAATGGAGTATTGTAGCATGACGTGTTGGCGCTATTGTTTCCTTGTATACAAGACTGAGGTGAAATCTCCCCAGAATTACATATGCTTCCTAATCTACCAATCAATTCCTTGAGCACCACGTTCTCACCTCCACAACCCGGAATTGGGATTCCAGGATGCGAATTCACTGGAGATGAGACAATGGAACTCAAGGCAGATTCAAAGGGATCGCTCTGATCCATTGAATTATCCCAATTGCGATTGAAAAAGCAATTGGGAATCTGTTCTGAGCTACAATTCAATTCGCTAACTTGACTTTCAATTTCCATTCCGAAGACTGAATTCCAGGCGTGTGGAATCCCATTACCTTCAGTGCTAAAGAAGCTATCTTTTTCCATATTTGAAATAAGTGATCTGAATTTGTGATTGGTATTATCAAAATCCCAAAATGGGTGTCTGATTTTGGGGGAATTAAGAAACGGAGATTGGAAACTTAATAATGTTGTTGGTTCTTGGAAGTCACTCAAGTCGAGTATGTGAAAGATAAAGGGGTTGTGTTGGAGAGCAGTTGGGTAATAACAGAAAAGCACAAAGAAAAAAAAGGGAAGAAAGTTGGAAAAAGATGGGGAAGGAAAGTGAAGAGGAAGCAATAAACAAAAGATTAAAAAATAAAGATGTCCCTTTCAACTTTCTTTTTTATTAAAATATAATAGGGTTAATGATATTACTAGCTAACAAAATATTTGAGATTTGTTTATTAATCATGTAAGGATTAATTAAGTTCAATAAAGCTCTAAACATTTAAAAAAAGTTTTAATGTTTGCAATATAAATACATCTTAAGTGGCTCCAACATGTCATTTTAATTTTTCTAATGACATAACATTAACACAATACTTTAAAAAAATATATTTAGCAAATAAAGTTTTGATCGGGTCCAACGCAACAATAAATATTATGAGTGACAATCGTGTAGTGTTTGGGTTAACAAGTCATAAAAACTCAATTCGAACACAACTCATATAAATATACATGCCGTCTTGCTCAAACCTAACTCGGACTAGTCATAACAAGTTAACCTACATAACCCATTTAATTGTACGGGTTTGCAGGTTCGTGGGATCATATCCGGGTTCATGAGTCAGATTCTGGTTCATGAGTCATGGGAAAAAAAATCTTATATATATATATATATATATATATATATATATATATATATATATATATATATATATATATATATATATATATATTAAATCTAATAAAATAAGCCGGTTCATGGGTCATCTCGAAAAGTTATTTGCAAACCCAAAAACGACATGTATAATAAACGAGTTTGCGGGTCAGAAAACTCAACCCAACCCTGTTTAGGCTGGGCGGAGTCATGGCAGCATCTGCAAAACACCACATCAGAAAAATGGGGGGAAGAAGCTCGGAAGAAGAAGAGAGGGAGAAGAGGAGGGGTGGTCTGCCGAGTGAGGAAGAATGAAGGATGAAGATGGGAGGAAGAAGAATGAGACTCGACAAACTTCTACCAAGTTTGACCACCAAACTCGGCATGCCAAGTTGGTGGCCCGGTGAACACCGAGTCCACATCAGGTTTTGCCGAGAAAGGCCGAAGCCACTCCGCCAAACCTTATATTTATCTCGGGTTCGTGTCGGATCACGGGTCTTGTCAAGAATTGTTGCAATGTTAATCATTAATTAAATACATCTCCTCTTGATTAATCACTTTAATACCATCCCAATCTCATAAGAAAAGTTTAGGCTAAGAATATCACACGACACCCTATTCAGCCCATGCATGATATGTACACATCACCTCCGTTCAAGATTAAAACAACAAACAAATGGATATTTTTGTAGGTTTCGGACATCTAAATATTATGGCGTTTGATAATTTCCCTACAACAAACCTATGTAAAAATCACACATAGTCTCCATTCAAGTACACAACTCATCTTCATAAATAACTTCAATCTAAGAAGAGTTAACTAAGTAATCATAAAATAAAATACATATCATAACCGGATAAATTATATCATATTGTTTACATTAATATTTAATATAACAAAAGTTAAATGTTTAGGTTTCTATTAAACCTATTTAGAATTTTGATGACTAAATATATGAAACTTTCAAACAAATTCTTGTCATTATTTTCATTAAAAAAAATAATAATAAACTGTCATGTAGGATTTTACGTAGGCATAAAATATATTAAACCGACTACAACATGTTATGCTGTCAACATTTTTTATTTTTATTTTTTTTATGTTTAGTGTGAACTTAATTAGAACTTAGGTGAAAGAATATAAAAAATCTCAGATAATTTATGAAAATAATTTTCTTTAGAAAAATTGTTGAAATAATATATTTTTAATCCTTATATATTCTAAAAAATCTAAGATTATTTATTTACATTAATTGTATTTCTACAAAAATTGGATTAAATAGTACATTTTTAATCCGTATTAATTCTAGAATATAATATTTAAAATTAAAAAAAAAAAAGACATTTGATAAGAACACTACTACAAAAAAGAGTATTACCGACGGTCAAATCCGTCGGTAATCTGTTGCTAATACTCTTTACCGACGGAACTGTAACAGACCAAAATCCGTCGGTATATTCTTGTCGCTAATTGTTTGTAACGGATTTCCGACAGCTACTCCAAATTTTTAGCGACGGATTTTTCTATCGGTGATTAGTAACGGATCACCGACAAAATATTTTTTGCAACGGATTACCGACGGAATATGTTTGCAACGGATTAGCAACGGAATGTGTTTGCAACGAATTAGCAACGGAATCTGAAATAACTTACTAACAACAGAATTTCGGAATAACTCACTAACGGATTACCGACAGATTTTGTTGTGACTGATTAGCGATAGATTTTGGCATTATTAAAAATATATATAAATTCATGACAAAAAATAATAGATAATTACATATTCAACACAAAAAAATCTTAAAACATTCATCAAAATTTATATTTAAAAACCAACAAAAATAAAAGTAAAAATGTCTAGTATATAAAAAAAAGTCCAATACTAGAAGTACATTAAATCCATACTTGACACACTTTACAGATACATAAGTGGATTCAAATCCTACACAATTGAAAAACAAATATTAGTTTTAAAATTAACCTGGACAAGAACTGTTTTATTAACGAATTTCAAAAGAATTTAGGGTAAAAGAAAAAATGCATACCATTAAAGGATGTCAATCTAAAAATTCTATCAGTCATATCCACACCAAGACCTGATAATCCATCTCTTTCAAGATAATGAGGATCTACAACAAGTGTTATAATTTATTTATAGAGAAGTAAAAGTAAGTAAGTTGAATTGAGAGAGAGACCTGTTTTGAGTCCTTGTAGGACAATGCCACGTGTGATTCCAATAGCCCATCCATTGTCACAGCTAGGCTGTTCTACACCAACTGAAACTGCAACTACATCCCCTTTCTCAACATGAGCACTGCATGCTAATATACCTGGAACATAGACATACACAAATCTCACAATCAAACATCAAAATCTAAACATTTTCTAGTGTACTTGATCATGTTGCATATTAACATTTTATAAAGACACTTATTCCTATTGGAGATAAAGGCACATGAAGAGAGAACTACATTTTTATGAGTATTCAAAATGTCAAAAAAGTTCTATGCCACCTTTGATTGCATCCTCTTATTAGATATTATGATTTCTATCTGAGAATTGCAAAGGTCGCTTGACTCAGTTAAGAATCACATGTGAAAAGGGCGTGAACACTCTTTTAAGCAAAGGGTATGCAAGACTCGTATGCTAGTGTTAATGACCAAATTCTAGATATACATTCATGGAAGGAGTTATTTAATGAAGTTGAAGTGTTATGGATGCAGATTTACAAGATAGGACTAAAAAGGATAGTTAACTTACACTCAACAACCTCCCAAGATCGATTTCCAGACCTCCACTCAGTAGCAAACTAATTGTTTCCAAGTCACTCCGGTAGATTGATTTTCTATAGACAACAATTACAAACTTCAAATTTTTAAAGCATGTTTATAAAGGTAAATGATATGCTAAATAACTAATAAGTACTTAATGTATGACTTTTTCCTGAGTAAAGTTGTATGTGTTTCCCTCAGCAACATCTATAAACCGGTAAAAAGCAACAAAAAACAGAAACAATACTTTCCCCATTAAGCCTTATACATTTTAAAACTAGAGCATTTGGTGTGAAATCCATCCTGAAATTTAAAGGATTCCGAGGGGACTGAATTCCAACTATTTGGCAACCAAAACAAGCCTGGAATTGAATTCCGTCTATTTAAAAAAAGGCTAAACGTCTTTAACTACTATAAACACACTCTAGACGAGTTGATAAAGAAGATAAAGTTATATCATGAAGATGATATTAATACCTGTATAATATTGACTAACTGCTTAGTTGCCCATCCAAATAGAAGAAAAGCAAGTAATGCAGAATTTATCAAACTTTGTTGTGCAGCACCAACAAAAACCTACATTTTCATAAAGAAAATCACATTTGTAAACATTTAACCAAAAAAGATATGGCACCATATAGATTCGGCCTTACATCGGATCTTTTCTGACCCCTTTGCAAGAAGAAACAAAGTTATGTAAAGAACCTGCAGGATGAAGATCAAAAACTTCACTTCATAACTCTAGTATACTTTAATTTTCTCTTTCTATGTAATTTGGGATGACATTTTCAGGCCAATTTCAATTTTCAACTTACACCGTCAAGTCCATATCAAAGAAGGGATTAACATCAATCTCACCATTCCGATTCAAAGAAAAGTCAACCAACTGTTTTTGTTTATTTCCAAAAGTCAAATCCGGATATGGTCCACGGAATTCCCCCGTTTATCTCAATGTCTATGATTTAACTCCCATGAATGGATACACTTACTCGGCCGACTTTGGAATCTTCCATTCCGGAGTTGAAGGTAATAAAACTTTACGTTTATCTCAATGTCTATCAAATCTTTCACCGCCATTATTTCTGCCATCATTGTCTTTCCGTCGGTCGTCTTTCAGTCGATTTTCCATTCCCGGGCTACGCCTCTGTGACCTATCCTTCTGCAAACACATTTCAGTATCTTGTTATTAATAACAATATGGAACACAACAATCATGTGAAATGGTCAGATTGCAATTCGAGATTCCGGTCCATGAAATCAATTAGTTTTAAAAAGAAACATCGGGGCGTGTTAGTTTTGCGGATTCTGTTGAAAACAGAAAGAATAGAAATTCATGATTCCGTTCCAAGGAATGTATCTAGGGTTCCATTTTGAGTGTGGTTACCCTTCCCAGTCAAATGGATTTACTCTATTCCAGGTTTAGGATTTAGCTAAATAACAAACGAACAACAAATGCATCAATCAGTAAAACAGATCATAAGTAAGATGGTTGATATTATTTTACATATGAGTTGACCTTTTTCTGAAAAAGAATGTTCAATTCAATTTAAAGAGAACCATAAAGTTGCTCATTCCATTCCTTTATAGTTCCATTCCTTAATTTTAAAAAGACCCTAAGAGATAAAACAGAATAATCCGGGAGGGATTACTTTGTTTTGGGAAGGACTACGGTTTTCACAAG